TTTCTAAACAATCATTATATGAATAGCTGTGTTGGGCGAAGCGATGTAGAGTATTCAATGGCGGACCCGATTCCACTATTATGTTTTTATTTCTCTTTGCTATAGAAATTATTTATTATTTGAAAAATGAAAAAAAAAAAAAAACGTTCTTAAATTCTTTGTATTCGTTAAGTAAAAGAAAAACAATTTAACAAAAATATTTTTGTGTCTAATTGATATGCAAAGCGCTAAGCGGCAACTTAAGTTATTAATAAAATTTATGTAGAAAATGTTTTCTTTTTTATTGTTAGTCTTAAGAGAGTACCAAAAAAAAAAAAAAAAAAAATTAAAAAATAAAAAAAAAAAAAAATTTTTTTTTATATCTAACGCATCTGCTTTCTTGTATTTGCTTTAAAGAAAACTAAACGCAACACGTTATGCAAGCGTAAGTTTTTATACAAAAGTGACATAATACGGTATGGCAGGGTATATAAAAAGCTGCTTTAGTTTGAATAAGTGATTATTGCAACACAACAATCGTTAAATACGATACACGTGAAGAGCGTCTTATTCCACATTAAAGAATACAACAAGAAAACTAAAGCGTGATTAACTTAAAAAAGTTGATGCTTAAATCAAAATGCGTCGAGAGACTAAATAACTTATACAGTCGAACGTATGGACCGCAACTGAAATTAAGGTGAACAGAGTTTTCAGTTTAGTAAGCTGTTAGTTTATGGGAAAGTGGAGATAGGCCGACTGTTCATGCTGTCTAAACACGTTCTGTATATACATCTTATTACGTCTACGATGCATCGTTCCAGATATATGGGAATCTTTATGATACGAAATCTAACATATCCTAGTAGGAGTTCTCTATAGCTACTTCACTATTAAGCAAAACCATAAAGCAATTTACGGGATTATTGGGTCAAGTGCGGAGGAAGGAAGAGCTTAACTTTAGGTATGCTTTTTTAGGCGAACCTTCAAAGCTCAAGATCCTAGTTCTCGAAAACGAACGAGTCATTTCATAAAGATCTTAAACGATTTCACATTTTCAAATTTCGCTTCTCCTGCCAATCGTTCCCGTTGAATATGTATAAGCATTTTATTAAAAAAAGGAAAATTTTCTTCTTACAGGTTTTGCTATGGATTTTGTATAACAAAACAAAAAAAAAAAAAAAAAACAAACAAACATAACTCATAATTAAAGCATTATATAATAATTAAATTAAGATTTAAGATACAAACAACTCTTTGCAATCATCAATCAGACTTTTGCATTTGATGTTGAATTTTGTTTTTGTTAATCTTCCACTTTTCGAATACACACGAGCTCGAATCTCAACTAGAGAATCGTGGATCCATGGATTGTTTGTTGAATTGCTTTAAAAAAAAAGAGATCTATCTGCATCTGCATCTGTTGATAGCGATATGCTATTGCTTTGCAATGAACGTACATTCATTTGTGGAATGTGGTTTTAATAAATTGTTGCTTTTGGAGTTCAATTATTACTTGCGAAGCATTTACGATATCGTTTACTTTTTTCCCTGCCCACCGTTCGCAGTTGCCGGCTCTTGTGCTTTTCCATACTACCACGAGCTGGGGAAATTAAATTGTAATTAGATTTGTTGCGGTTGTGTTTGTTTCTAATAAACTTTTCCTCTCGCGCGTAAAGGAAACGTAATATATTTCTTTGGTCTATTATTACATACAATCTTTATTGGAAGGATAAGCAAGAAAAGACAAGAAAAAAAAAAAGAACAGAAAAAGAACTAAAAGGAAAACAAATAGTGAAGCAACTGCAATCGGCTTAGCGCGAATCTTTGCTACGCATCCATTTGAGCTTTGCTACACCATTTCGCCATTGATATCAACCAAATCAAAGTTTTATTCGGCTCGATTTGAGACATTTGTGTGATAGCTACAGCTACAGCGATCATAATCAACTAATGCTTGATATTTTATTTTCTGAAACGTAATTTGTCTCAACCGCGAGCCTTTGATATATGTGTACATATAAATTGGAAAACGGTCTCGTTAACTATCAATCTCTTCTTCTAATTGGAGTTAAAGGAAATTATTTTGTATTCACTTTTACACTTATACAATAAAGGCAGTTGCGATTGCCAAGCACGCTTGGCAGAGAATGAATAGCGGAAAGGCCGCTAAAAAGTTCCGTTTGCTTTAGAACATACTTTATATGTAGATATATGTGTATATATATATATATATAATATTTATATGCATGTATGTATATATGTATATATAACATAGTCTTAACTCATCTCATTCCATTCCACACTTTTTCCTTTATATTCTTCATATTCTAAAGCTGCTGTCTGTCCATCGCGACATTGGCCACAAATGGTGGAAAATTGGCTTTGTCTAAGGATTCGAATCGATAATTTCAATGACCAACATTGACAAGACATTGATCCATTTTTTCCACTTACTCTCGGTAATGATGAGTGCTTAAGATATGGACAGTAGCACTTTTTGTTAATTAACTTTCTTAAAATAGTAATAATAATAATAATAATAATAATAAATTTAAAAATGCTTTGCATATTAATAAAATCCAACTTTGCCCATTTTCACAATAAATGGCAAAAATGGAAAATTTTAATTCCTCAACCTAACGGGAGAGATGTTCTAAATACATGGGGGAGGGAAAGAACTCGCAACTGCTTAGCGAAGCAGTGAGTGCATCAAAGTTTTTAAAATTAATATAAATGGTAAACTTGTAAAATTGTTCCCCAAAATATTCTGCAGAGCGTCAAGCGTAGATCTAACTAATAGAGTAAGAGCTAGAGAACTTTTGTTAAATTGAAAGCATCCGCTTATATATGTATGATATATAAAATTAAGATCCTAAAAAACAGCATAGGGAAAAATATAGATTGATAGACGATGATTTTAGTGGCGACTTACGAATTACGAAAATCACTTTTATATGTCATATGTCCTTGCGTGGGCGGGATTTTTCAATTCTCTTATTCTTTATTGTTTCTCTTCTATACAAGTTGCATGTTAAATGATCATATGAAGCAAGAAAACTTTCCATTTTTTTTTGGTGTTTTTTTTTTTTGTTTTTTTGAATAAATTAATATTTACATAGTGTGGTATAAAAAGTTTGCCGCTTTAGTCTTTTGTTTAAAATACAAAACTTGTTGTGCAACGGTAGACAGTGTTTGATGTTTTGCCTCTGCTCAAGTCCATTATTTATTTATTCAAAATATTTACAAAAGTAGATCAATAAATGTTTAATTCAAGAACTCGATTCCTTATTTGTGAAAATGTCGATTTGTCATAGCTATGCGAGTATTGCGAAAAAGCGTTTGCATATTGCTTTTGCGAATTTTGGACAAAGTACGTATGCGCCTACATACGTCGTTTTATATACATAAAAAGAAACATATGATATGACTTACGTAGTTTTAGCTTGTTGACTAGAAAAGCCACGTAAATAAGAAAAGGTTTTTATAAAATTAAGCAAAAATTTTTTTTTTTGTTTTTTCCTTGGTATATATATATAATAATTAGGGCTAATTGGCTAAAGGGCGGAGAGATTGCATTCGTTTTGGAAAGAATCCTAAGCAGTTGCTGCTCTCACAATATATTTTAAAATCCTACATTTTTGTCGACTGACCGTTCGTGACGAAAAGCAAACAGCTTTACACAATTTCAGTAAATAAATATAAATTAATTTTCAGCTTAAAATGCCTTTTCACTCTCTTACACTCTTTTTCACATCCAGCATAAAGACCTTAAATTCTCACATCAGTATGATGTTCTAAATCGATTTGAACATGTCCGTCCGTTCCTTTGTGTTATGCCTGCGTAAAGACATCGGCTACAAATTTGACGTAAGAAGTTGTTGTCATATGACGAGCCATAGACTGAGAATATTTCGTTTATCAAAAGCAAAGAAAAATAATGGGTCTCTTTACTCGTTAACCATAAGTTACAACAATCGAATTTTTGTGTATTCTATATTAGGATGAAGGTGGCGAGTAAACGAGTTTGGGTCAGAGCCGAATGTAATTTTTTTTTTTTTTTTTTTTGATTAAGAAGCCAAGTTCTAATCTCGATCATAGGGCTGCTGAGTTTGAGAAAACTTAAAAGGAATGAACATACAGAGCGGCAAAGTGAAAGTATATTGAATCGCAAACTCAGCTTTGGCCCGCACACTGACAATGTCCCTGCAAAAGTTTGTTTTACGCTCCGAAGACTGTACTAACTAAGGCTGCAACTGCTTCCACAGGCGAAGCATACGCGCGGTCGTTTTCGAGTCTTTTCTGGATGTACAAGGTATAAGTTAGATAGGCTTCAAAGTATTGTTGACCATATAACACGCTTTGTTTATAACGTCAAACTTGAAGATCACATCTCCTCCCCTGTTCATTCTTCATTACATTCTTCTAGATCAAATAGAAACCCTTTCACACGAATACTAGGCTTTGTCTAATTCATCAGTCGAACGTAGTTTTACTATTCGCGTTGCTAGATATGGAAATGCCTTAGCATTGAGTCTGATATCATTCGATGATTCCTTGAATACGTCTAGTAGAAAATTGACCGGGCTACCAAATCCATAATTAATATTTTGCTGCTGATTGGAATTGATAATTACAAGCAAGATATGTAGCAAGATGATTACATTTACAGCCATCTACCTGACCTGTATACTCAATTATGTTGTTGTTTCCTTTTGCACATAAAATGTATGTATGTAATTAGGTAGTAGACCTATGGCTTTATAGTTACCCAATCAACGAATAAACGAAAATGAAATGTATTACAGGTGACGTATTTATATCTTCTATACTTTGAAGAACACATACATATTTTGGTTTCGCAATTCAAAAGGGAAAACTGATATATGCTTAATTATCCTTTTTTACGATCTTTTAAACATTATTATTGCGAATCTAGTTTTATTGCATATTTGTGATTGCAAAATTAAGATGAGTTGAAATAAATTTTCTTCTTCTTCTCCTTTGTTATTCGTTTACAGTCCCCCGGTTTAGATTATCGGCATGAGCTGATGGGTCGTTTGCATAAAATTGAACCAGATGTAGAACTCGAAGTTTTAACTACCTCCAACAGTGCACATAATCATCATCATCACCATCATCATCACCATCATCATCATCAGTTACATCAGCATTTACAACAGCATTACCATCAACACCTGCCTCAGCATCATCAGTCTCAACATAATCAATATCATCAACAACAACAGCAGCAGCAGCAGCAGCAGCAGCAACAACAACAACAACAGCATAATGTGAATACTACGTACCAGCAGCAACACCACCAAACCACGCCATTTCAAACGCATCAGCAACAATTAACGACACAACTTAGCAATAGTAGCATATCCAGCAATAGCAGTAATAGCAATAGCAACTCAAGCCATAGCAATAACAACAATAATAACAATCATTTAAGCGAACATCATTGGCAACACGGCAGCACTAATCATGATCATACGCCAACTGCCATATATAATTTACAAGAAGCCCTACCGCAACAGCAAACGACAGCAACGGGATCATCAAGTGCATCAACAACAACGGCCTCGCATACCACAAATAACACTGGCCTTGACAATCCTGTTGCTGCTGCGGACGTTTCACCTTCACCCGCCACCGCTAACGATAATTTCTCGAATGCTTATGATGCTACAAATTCCTATGAAGTGGCAGGTTCTTATGCAGCCGTTACAGCATCAGTCAGTGATCCAACCACACCGAATAGCGATAAAGAATATTTGTTCGGTAAGATATAAATAAAATTTTTTATTTTTTTTATTTTTTTATTGCGTAAAGCTAGCTACAAATCTTTGGTATATGTACGCTAAACATAACGGTATAAAACTTTGATGTCAGCCATTACATTAAGTAGAATAATAATGTAATACCGAGTTATATATGAATGATAACGATAAAGCGAATAGCGAAAGTCTAGAAAGTCAATGCTTCCTAGACTACTTAATGGTATCAGTTTACTTGTTAACGTGTTGCTCTTTATCGTGTATTTTCGTGTTTAATTAATTTTTGGACTTTCTTCCCTTTCCTAAGTTTTTTAAAATATTTTCTTAATTATACGATCATTAGACACCAAAACTAAGGAGTCCCTTTGCCATCATCCCTACCACGATATGGATGATCCATATCAAAGACCCGCACTGTGGGAGGATATTGCCAGCTCAATACAAAATATTGATCCTGAAAATGCTCTAATGTTAGACTCGACAACACCACATACGCAACAACATTCAAATAACTCGCAGCATCAGCAACAAGAACAGCAAAATGTTATTGTGACCACTACGGCTACCAGCGGAAATACACTGTTGCCACAAGTCAAAATGGAAGCGATTGATGATAGTTTGCTCGAAACATTATCAACACCGTTGCTCAGTCCTTTGGAAATTAAAAAAGAAATTATAACAACAACTAGCAGCAGTAATACAACACACCTTCACGCAATGCAACAACAGCAACAACATCATTATTATCAGCAACCATTAGTATCAGCAGCGGCAGCAAGTAACCAATTAAATATTTATCATCATCAAAATCATCATCATCCAGCCCATCAACAACAACAGCATTTATATCAACATCATCCCAGTTTAGGTGATGAACATATGTTTGTTTTGGGGCAGCAAACGCAGCAGCAGCAACAACAACAACAACATATTGCTGCCGCGTTGCATAGCAATAGCAATAGCCCCAATCAACCAAATAGATGCAATAGCGCGGCCAGTAGTCATAACAATGAAACCAATCTTAGCGCAAATGCGGATGGTGCGGATTTTCTAAGTTTAAATACGGCAAGTAATGGGAGTGATCAATCAGGTTATCAACAGGCACAACAACAACAACAACAACAACAACAGCCACAATACAGTCATAGCTATTTAAACGAGAATCTAAGTGGTTTAGCAACCACTCACCATAGCAATAACAATGCATCTCAGCTGACAGCGTTGACAGTAAGCGGAACAGGGCCACATTTGACGACAGCTGCGAGCATGAAAAATATAAACAATAATAATAACAGTTATAATTATCCATGGCATAGTAGTCAGGTGAGTGTAAAATTGAAAAAGTGAATAGAAATAAATAAATTAAACTAATTAAAATTTATGGTGAGAATTGTTTTTTTTTTTTTCCTTTATTATTATTATTATTTATTTATCTATTTGTTTTATTTATTTATTTATTTTTTTTTTTTCAATTTTTTAACATATACACAGCCTTACCATAGCAAGTATCAAATACCTCCGCCTCCGCCACCAACGCAACAACAACAGCAAATTCAAAACTCACAGCTCTGTCTACCTGCCTTAATGCCAACAAATGCAAACACAACTACTTCTAGTAATACCGTGTCAGCAGTGGCGGTCGGATCTCGTCATATGTTTGTACCCCCCCTAACGCCACCTAGTTCAGATCCCGGAAGTCCTGGTAATTCAATGGCAGCAGCGGCAGCAGTCGCAGCCGCTAATCAACAACAACAGCAACAACAACAGCAAAAACATCAAGTTAGACGTGCAACACCACCTCCTCCATATCAACAGCAACAGCAACAACAACAACAGCAGCAACAGCAACAACAACAACAGCAGGGTCATCCACTTTCTAGTATTTGCCCGAACATAATCAATTTACATACGAATGCCCCAGCAGTAACAGCAGCTGCGATATCAGCCGGTCATCACCTCAGTCCAGTTAGCAATCGAACATTGACGACGCTTGGTCCGGTTACAGCAAACGTTAACGCATTGGCAATATCAAATGCAAATAGTAACGCAACAGTATCCTCCTCCTCATCTTCCACTTCGCCATCGTCCTCAACCAATCCCCATCATCGCCTACCTCAGACTAGAGGTTGTTCCTCAACATCAACACCTGCTGCTCATTTAGCAAATATTGTAGTGCCGTCAGTGCGCACAGTACGTTATAATCGTCGCAATAATCCCGAACTTGAGAAACGACGTATACATCACTGTGATTATGTGGGTGAGTGAAGTAGCGTAGTTTGTTTCTTAAGTCTTTTGTTTTTTGTTTAACATTTTCCTTTTTTTTTTTGCAATATATTCATTTATTGATGCTCTTTCACTCGTATTAATGAAAGTTTCTTACTATAACTGATACACATTTGTGTTCACACACAATATATATATGAGACCATATGACAAGCTCAAGTGATGTTGACAAACTTGCAAATATTTTTCTATGTGTCCTTCACAACTGCGATAAGAAAAGCGCTGACAGCGTATGGGCACTATATACGTCTTTAGTCAAAAAGTCTACTCGTTGTCTGAAAAAAACTTTTCTATTAAAAAGCTAAACTTATCTTTATTTCGAAGTAGAGTTAACTTAAACGGAAGAGGTCTTAACAAAAAGAATATAAAAAAATCATAGCAACTGTTACGAAAAATTCAGCCTAAGCTAAGTATAAGCTCGCTCTTGTTTTATGGTTAATTAGTACGCTTTTGCTACAATTACATAAAAGTATTAATAATTGATTTTTTTTTTCTTCCTTGTAATTATGTTGTTGTTGTTATTGTCATTGTCATTATTATTATTGTTGTTGTTGTTGTTGTTATTATTAATAATGATAAAATGTGTATTTTATGTGCAAAGCACGCAAACACATGCTTTAAGCCAAAAATGGTAATATACTCAAGCAGCCGCTGGCTGTGCTAAGTAATTACCACTTGAACGATAATTGGCAAACTGTAAGAAAGTGTCACACGCTCCAAACAAGTTAATAAACGTTTATTCATAACTCCAAGCTACACGAAGAAAAGATAAACACAATACTAAGCGATTTTGGTGACTATTGACCAAGTAATTAAAGCAAACTAATTGGGTTAAAAACAAAAAAAATTTATAAACGTCTCATTAACGGGATTCCCTATTGCTTAGGCTATTGCTTATAAGCTCAAGTTAGATATTTAATGCTTTTTAAATCACTATTATCGCGTAATATAATTTTAGCTAGAATCATGAATTGATCTTTCTTCTCTCAATTCCGAGCCGTATGGGCTTGGCCCGCCGGTATAATCGAAATTGAATAAAATCAAAAATTGTGTTCTATGTCTTGTGTTGACATTTCGACGAGCCTTTGAGCCAGTCCCAATTAAATTGATCTAAAGTAAAATTCAAGAATCGTAATTGCTTTTCAAAATACATTCCAAAGTTTTCGAGAGCTCATCAATTAATTGGACAAGTAAAAACATTAAAGTCGAGTAAAACTGATCATTAAATATCTTATAGTACTTCGCCTTATGCAATTCTTTATTCATTTATATGGTGTAGTATCAAAAATTATACCCCTTGTCCATGTAAAGGCTTCAAGTAAGACCTTACAATGTGAACTGACTTAGTTCATGATTAGCAAAATTAATTTTCTTATCAAAGGTCTTTCATCTTATCATCATACTCTTCCCGAGAACTCTCATATGTAGTGTATGCGTAAAAAAAGCTTTTTGCTCATTACTCATAATCTATGAAGACTTTAACGTATATTCTGCGGGCAAGGCTCTTACACCTGCCCAAAATGGGGAGGAATTGACCATGCCTACCCAATATTATAGTGTATCAAAATGGAAATCATTTTTCGAATATTTTTTTATAAAGCGCAGCAGCAACTTAAACATGTCCATCCGTTTATCTGTTCATTAGCCCGTCTGCCCAACTATGTAATATCTGCGGTCAACATATCTCCGTCCACAAAGATGAAGGTATCGCCTACAAGAGGGTTTGAAAATACTTCAAACAGTTCAAAGAATACGCCTACAACGCTCACACGTCTGTATGATGAAAACTGCAAACACCTTTGCTTTCCTTGCCTTTTACTCGTTACTGATGAAATACAACAGATACACAGGATATAAATTTCCACAAAATGATTGCATAAAAATAGGAAAGTCCACCATGCTAGTTTTCTTACTTGTTTCTGTTTATGTATTTTTCTTTGCTATCATCGCTGATAGCACAAAAATGCAAGAACACTAGAAATGAGCGAGCTTGGAGAGATTTTAAAGGCGAATTAAAAACAATTTTATTTCTATGCTGAATGTGTACGCATTCTTGAAAAGACTTTACCTGTAAATAGCGTCTCCTTTAGATGCTTGTATGTTGTTCGAATTGTTATTTTGCAATAAGAACACTTTTACTTTCCTTATATTGCATACCTCGCAAATAATCGATGCAGAAGGCTTACCGTGATTAATAAGTACGAGGGAAAAAAGTTCAAATATTACATGATTGGAAGAACCATTTTACAATAACATATATATACATATAACATATATATATATATATATATAAACCATGCATATGTTCATATATTTATATTTATACATCTTTTTTCACGTTTATCGCAAAAATCTACACATAAATGTTTGTATATGTGCACATATATATATATACATAATGCTTATATAAGTAAAAAAAGTGGAATTTCTGCATTTATGTCATGTTTTACAACCAGGCTTACGTTTACGGCGTTAAAGTGACATCGTTTGATGCCAGTTAAACGAACGCACACAGGCATTTAGGCAGACGGACAGAGAGCATATTATGCGCCATAACTAAACTTTGAAGTATGTATATAGGTTATGTACAACATACCAAAACTGTATGTAACACTTGACAGGAACAAAGCATACGATGTCAACCACATATTGAATTTTGTAAAAAATTTCTTCTTCGCTCTCTTCTTACTATTTGAAATGATTTATTATACGAACTGCAGTAAATGTATTGACTAAAAATTATTTGTTTTATTTTTTTTTTTTTTTTTGTCAATTCTGAAGATATATACACAAAACGAACGCATACATAAGGGTTAAAAGAAGTTTGATTAATGCCGATAGGTAACGAATTCATTTCGTTGAACTAGAAAAGTTTACAAGAAGTTTCCGAAGTAATCGAAAGAGAATGAATGCCGCCTGAAGGTATACAATATCTTACTACAAATTCTGCTTGCAAGAAATATTCGCCATTGATATCATATATGATATTTTGTATCGTATTCTTCCTATACGAAATCCCATACATCGTCTCTTAGTTTGTCCCATCCATCTATCAATAAAAGGAAATTTAATGTCAAAGTTTTCCTGATTACTGACGTCATCTTAAATTCATATATAAGTTAAATCGTTTTCTAGATTCGTTCATAAATGAGCAAAAACTAACATCTTTCCTTTATAGAGCATTAAGATGGATTGGGAGTGCTATCCTTGTGGCAAGAAAAACTTATTCATGTTAAGCCTTTCACAGGCAAAAGCCGATGCAATCGCTGTAACTCTTTTCCATTATGAATTGGGATCAGATTGTTTTTTTTTTTTTCGTTTTTGCTTTGCTTAATTATATATATATATTTATGCACGGACTCAGGGCATCTAAGAGCTGCCCAAGTTAGTGTATTGGAATAGTTGCTGAAAGAAAGTGTAAAAGCAATTTTTTACAAAAACCTGAAATTTATTGACGTAATCATCATCATGCAAGAAGCGGCATATTGCAAAAAAAAAAAAAACTTCTCCGCATCTCCGACACAAGAGGACTTAGGATTGAAGGCGATAGGACGATAAACTCAAAAAGTTCTCCACTCTTTATTTTACATTAACGGAAATTGACTTCGACGTGATATTCATGTAAGCGAAGTTTCCGATAGTCCTGATGGAGATGCTATTGTCGATCAACGCTTAGTCTACGAATCCAGTGCACTTTAAGTTTTGCTTTCGACGTTATTCGCAAATAGACTTCATTCGACCGAAAATGTATATTGGAGCAATCTGTCTCCTTTACTTTTTATCGGCGTTTCTCTCTCTCTCTCTCTCTCTTTCTCTCTCTCTTCCTCTGTTTTTCTGTGGCTCTGTAATTAATTTCGTCTTGAGACCTACTAGTTCATCTAACTTAACTACTCGTCGTCTTCTCTCAGCTTGACTACTTTTACTACTTAAGTCACACCAATCGGTCCAAAAGATCTTGAACTTTTTGTTTATGAAATTCCATTTGGGTGTGAAATGTTTTAGTTTTTAAAATGTCTGTTACTTTTTTTAATTCAGATGGTAATATACTATAGTAGGCACCTTATCTAAAATATATTCTTAAATTTATAGAAAGCTCGAACATTTTGGTTCATCGTTGTCTTAAATATTTATGAAGCGCAGCCGAGAAACGTTTTTTGCCCAGTCAATCCTGCAGAGGGCAAAGTTTTGCTTTCATCTCTAATTTGGGTTAAGCACATAAAAAGCAACTAAAAATAATAATAATAATAACAATAATAAGTAATAAAAAACATAAGTTTAATCTCTCAAAAAAATCTCTCAAAGATTAAAACAAATAAAAAACCGAAACATAAAAAGGTGATGTACGAGTATACTAGAAACCTGCATATGGATCTATGAAAGTATAAATAAATAAATAAATAGAAAACGCGGTAGTTAACCTAGAGATGTGTAAGAGTGCTAAGCGGCAGACTCATCGGTGCAGTCAGGTATTGAGAGAAGAAAAAACAAAATGTAAATAAACAAATAAAAAAATATAAATAAATTTCTGATGTATGTGTGACACGTTTAAATGCCAATTTTGGCACAAAAGCCGATGAAAGATTCAAGGAAAAAAAAAAGAGCATAAAAAGAAAGATAACAACAAGAAAAAAAAAAAAAACGCGCGCACTTAAGTTATTTGCAGTAAAAAGAAAAAACAAAACTTAACAAAGCCACAAGTTGCGTTGATATGGATTGCATGCGATTCTTGTGTATGGGAAGCTTTCACACACACAATACCAATGGCAACAACTACCAAATGAAGTTATTATGACATGAATGCACGCATCAGATTGTTCGAATTGTAGATTGACATCTGAACGATGTAGTTAGCAGTAGCAGTGCAATGCAGATACTAAACAACTACTTACACACTTTTCAGTAAAACGTTTAACTCTTTAAATAAAACTGTTTACACAATTGTAAGCAGATACAATAGCAGTTAAAAAAAGCAGAAGAAGAAGAAGAAGAAGACGACGACGAAGAAAAAGAAAAAGAGGAGAAAAAAAAAAAGAGTAAACAAACAAGAAAGTCATCATATCACTCGCCTTAGGGCGAATCGTTGATACCCACCACTTGATAGCAGAGCTCTAAATACGTCGGCATATCAATTGGCCAAAAGTTATCATATTCATGCCAGACTCTTACTTAGCCCTAACATGTGTTTGTTTAAAAATTTACATGACTATGACTCTTACGAGCCGCAACTGTTGTCTCCGCTGTTTATTTACGTTTACCTGCGTGTATCCATAGGCGGACCACTCGTACATTGTTCACTAAAGTCTTAGATCCACGTTGTACATATTTATCGCGCACAGTGCCGAGTTACCGCTTTTACTTTTGCCTATGTCGAAGGCGATTGCAAGCGAATCATATAATGCCGTGGTTTGCTTCTATAATGGCTCCCACAACAAGCAAAAAAGAGGATTGAGCAAACGTGATAAAAAGGACCCAAAATCTTAGATATATACATATGCCCTATGCCCTATGTCTCCGAGTCCGAGTCCGTAACATCTCTAATACTATTTTGAAATGAATACAAACCGGAGCATGAATTTAGTATACCCTTATCGTTCGGAGTTGGATGCACGAAAAGTATGGAAAAAGAGTTGTTAGACATACAAAAGATAGTCTATAAATACACAAGTTTGTCTAAAAAATACGTCTATGTATTTGTCTAGAAAGTAATAAGCTTTTCATAATTATATATTCGGAACACATATGTTTTATGCGCACAGTTTGTTCATGTTTACCTATCGTCTTAACTTGTCGTGTGTTTTTGCCCAAAAACATATAATTATCAATTATCACAGAACGTATTGGGAACGTAATCGTTCCCGGCATGTTGCGCAGAGACCTGGTATGAACTATACCGACGATGCGGTATTAAACCTATGTTCGATCAATTTCAGAATAAACCGTTAGCGGCTGTAGCGTTGCTAATCTATGAGTGTAATTTTGACAAGCTCCTTCCGATTTCATCAGCATTGCTAGGAACGCTTGCTTTAACTCTGAGCACTCAACTCATGCACAACAACACAAATAGACATAAATTTTTACACAGGTTTCAAAGTTTTCCCCCGTCTCCATCGCAAAATATTTTTCGGAAAATTTTATCATCAAAATCTTTTCTCGGTTTTCATTACTCAGAAGTAGTAGTTAAGAGTCTTTGCGATTCGGTGGGTATTCGCTGATAAAAACTTGGTTTTTGTTTTCTTCTCACTTTGGGGTAAGCAATAGTTAAACGCTAAACTTCTTCTCATAGTCACTTTACCGAAAAATTTTTCCATCTTAGGAATGCAATATAAATTAAACCTCAGATTAGGTATAAGCTGCGATTCAGTCTGATTGGTCCGATTCATCGCATAGGCAAAAGGTTTCATACTTTTTAGACGATGTGAAATATACGAACTTTTACATACGCATAACTGCTTAACTGGCCGCTTACATATAAAACAGCTTAGAAATCTTTAGTGTCTTACACTACTAATGTCAGACGTTGAAAAAAATGGAAGCAAGAAAAACAGAAAAAAAAAAAAAAAAAATAAATAAATAAATAAAAAAGCGGGGAAAAAAGATTGTGTTTGGACTTTAAGTTATTTAACCACATTTGTTCTTAAACGTACGTGCTGATGTTTATTAGTGAAACGTTTCGAAAAAAAGTGCGTCTATCTTTTTTTTCCCGTCTATGTTTGTCTAGCCAACGTGAGGCATAATGTTGAAGCTACAGAAAGACAGAAGATAATGGAAATATGTTGACTTGCATTAGTGTTTATAATGTAATGCTAAAAAAAAAAAAATAAATAAATAAATAAATAAAAAAAATACAAATACAAACAAAGAAAAAAAACCTCATGCGCTCGCCTTGCGGAGACTTTAGCAATAGATTAGAGAGTAGCAGCCTGTCTATGGCTGCTAAGTGAAGACAATAGTTGTGTTTTATATATATATATATATATATATATATATATTTTTTTTTTTTTTTTTTTTTTGTAAATGCGTAACACGTCCGAAATATATTTTAGACACGTTCAGCATTTATTTAATTTTTTTTGCCTTTTTTTCCTTACTTCTTACTATAGTTGAGTTAATGCTGTGTCTGTAGATTAAATTACAATAACTTGAAGGTGCCAATTACGCCAAGTATTTGCCACAGTTTCATTTATTTGAAAATATTTACCATACACACGGTGAGAGCATTCAAGTTCTCTCCCGTATAGAAACGTAATTAAAATTATATTACATATAAGTTATATTGTTGTCGCTACTTGTTTTTAATTAAATGGATTTTATTTTTCCTATTTTCTAATATAATTGCAATATAACTTTACAAATTGAGGGTAATTAATGTAGGAAGGGTAGAGCAAATAGAAGGAAGACGATATATATTAAAAGAGGGAGAGAATCCTTATAATTATCGTCATTATTATCAACATTATGGTCGCCATTATTATTATTATTATTATTATTATTATTATTATTATTATTATTGTTGTTGTTAGTATTATCATTTTTGTGTGTTCTGGCAACAACACCATTCACTTGCCACTTTAACCGCAATGCAATCGACATACAAGCAAACTTACGGTAATGCCTTGCTTTATACAATTGACCCAATAACTACTTTAATTTGTGTTATTTTTCTGCATTCATTTGAATTTTGTTCATGTTGTTTATATTATTATTATTGTTGTTGTTATTGTTTACCTGCCAATATACACTTAAATAACAACAAACTACTATAACTACTACTACTACTACTACTACTACTACTGCTTGCATAGTATTGTAGTAGTTGTTGCTAATATTAACCATATTATCCCATATCAAGATGCAAAATAAGCTTAACACACAAACATAACAATCAACAAAAGCAAAAAAAAAGAAAAAATTAGAAAAAAGAAAAATAGGAAAAAACCAAAAAGAAACTAGTGATCTGTTCGTTTATTCGTTCATTTATTTGGTTGTACGTTTATTATAGACGACGTCGTGGTAGTCGTCCATTTCGCATTTTGTACAAATAAATCCATAGTTTTCTGATCACATACATGTGTACGTAAAATAGCATAACATAAAGAGTAACACGACAACCAGCAACAGGTTGCTAACATGAATGCTTACTTTGGTTTGTTTAGGCAGCATAGCAAAAACAAAAAAATAATGTATATATGTAAGAAAAAGAAGCAAACGAAAAGCTCTTAAATTGCATTTCACCACACAAATAAGTCTTTTTTTTTTTTTTCTTATTTTTTTGCTGTTGTTATTTTGTCTTTTCTTTACCTATCAAGATGCAGCCGCATAATAATAATGATGATAATGACTAAAGAAATACAATATACAGAGACAATAAAAAGTCTTTTCTTTTTTTTTTGCACCTATTTTTCCGTCTTCTATATTTCAATGAAAATATTATGGTATATCAAATGCGTTGAAGCATTTGTATCATTAGGAATAACAAGAACATATCATCTTTCAATTGGCTAAAGTATGCACGCTTCATATTTTATGCTGATTAATTTAATATTTCAATCCATCGATCAATTATCAATGATTTGTTATCCGCACACATGCGGTCATCATAACTGAGGTAGACAACCTTAATATTTTATATTTATGGTATATTCAAGAGGCAAAAATAAAAAAAAAATTTAAGCCACAAGCAAGCCTTAATCGCCAGAGCGATTAAAAGGTTGAAAATCACAGTAAGCCGGATCAGCTGACAATCAAAAAAAAAAAAAAAGAAAAAAGCCTCATAGCACTAATTCTACGCATTCATCTAAACGTTTGCATAGAGCTCCAAAAGAAATGTCAAAAGTGCATCTCCAAAAAGAGATCTGCTGCCCATGGGGAAAAAGTATTGAAAGATTTTTAAAATTTGCTAAAATTTTTTCCCAAAAACATTCGAAAATTCAATGTAAAATTAATGTGGAACTGAAAAGTACATTTTCAGTACATTTCCTGATCAGCATCCCACTCAAATGACAGGCGACAGAACAGGGCTTTATGGGCGGTACATAAAATTCGTTTAAAACGTAACGCGTTATTATTTATTTTTTATGCTTAGCACTATATAGAAAAAATATTGTTGTTGTTGTCATCGTTATTAGAAAATATTTCTGTATATATATATATTTGAAAAGCGATACGTTTTTTTCCTTTTCTTCTGTTGTGTTTCGTTTTTAGTAACAGTTAGTTAGTTAATGCAGCAACCTTTCAAAAATTGCTTATAGTTTACGGTGTATATATAAGAAAAATAGTAACAGCAATAACAACATAAACAACAACAATAACATGAATATAAAAAATTCAAAGGATGATTTTCCTTTGTCATTGTCTTACCCAATATTAGTTAGTGCACTTGTGTATATTACGTACAACCAACCGCCACCTCATTCATGCAAAACGTGTTGTGGTAAATTATTCATTTCAATATTAGATTTAGTTTAATTTGTTCGTTTACATGTTGTAGCCATGGACATGAATAAAAACTATATTGACTTGTGCATCTCTATAGATAATATAGATATGTGTGTTTGTGTGTATAGAGATTTTTAAATCTACCGATATATTAATATCTTGAGGTTAACCTTTCTAATACATATCGAGAGAATGATAGCATACATACATATATATATATATATATATATATAGTATGTAATAATTTAAATTGATTTTGATCGTTTTGATAATTTTATATTTGATTTGTTTTCTTTCTTTCTTCTTCGTTTTGCATAGGTTGTACAAAAGTTTATACCAAAAGTTCACATTTGAAGGCACACCAAAGGATCCATACAGGTATGTCTGATAATTTCCTAAAAATATATTATGAAGAAAAAATTAAGAAACCATTTACTATTCTACTCTATTTATTCATTTTAAAAACGTATGGTTTACAAGCTCGTCGAGAGACGAAACAAAGAAAATCAAAGGTTAAATCGCGGTACGAATCTTATACTAAGTATCGCTTTCTCTTATATGATATTTAATTGCAAGTACGAGTGAAGATTTATTCATTCACTCCTTTCATAAATTTTTCTCTGATTTGAGTTTTTCCCGATTAAACTAAACTGATGAAGCGATGCGTGTTTTTCTTTTATGTTATGCTTATACGCTTCTTTGTTTATTTATTTAGTTGTTTACACCTGAAATTCAGCTAAAATAAATTAACAACCGTTAAGAGTCGTTTCACTCTTAGAAATAAATCTCATGCTAGGTATTATAACTGAACTCCTACAACTATTATATAAAAGAAAAAAAGCAAAAAACAATAATATGGGACAAGGCTCACCATTAAATATCCTACAGCATTTCGCATAATACATCACACTAACGTAACTGCATAACACGTAACGACTTCTCAAAATAGGGCATTTTATGAGAAGTGGTCTGAGGCATTTTCAATAGCGTTCATCGTTGGGCCAAAACATGTCTGTGTTCGAAAATTGCGACCTGCAGGTTGGACAGACGGACAGACAAATTTGGATCGATCGTGACTATTAATCGATCGGTGAAATAAAAGGTAGAATTCTCTCAAGTCTTGTATACATCCATAGAAACTTAAAAGCCAGGAATGAACAAACAACAATAACAAACATTGCAATCTCTCGACGCCAACCTTTAGATACCCTGCAGCTCTTCGCCTAGTGCAGTTACCTACTCGTCTTGGTATAAATAGACCAAAAATTACACATTGCTTTCACAAAGAGGCATCAATTTCAAAACATACATAACCCGTATATTTATTGAAGTCTAAAGTCAATTTACTATTACGATCGGGTTTTCATCGTGAAATATTGAAAAATAGATCTATTCAGCATATCAAGATTCAGTTTTCGTAGGAACGCTCATATAAGAGGGGGTCAAAAAATTTCCCCAGCAAAATCAAGTTTTTCGTAGTGATTTGGAATATCGCAATAGTACGGCTTAGCCGCTTTTGTTGAGAAATTTTGAAAATTGTAAGTTTTTCGAGCAAGTTAACCGATATATAGCGTTTCTCTTTGGGTCAAAGCAAGTCGCAAGTGTACCAAAGTTCATTAAAGTGTTCCAAAAGTAACGTCGTGTAGGTTGGACATTAAAATATGTGTACTGGCAACAAACGGACAAATGAACAAATAAGCTTAGAACGATGCAGAATCATCTTCTGAAGGTGAGCCTGTGTTAAGCATCTATCTACCATAGTGGTGTAGGGTATAATCAAGATTATATAAAAAGCAACCAAATTCATTTATAAACAAACGAGAGAATAGGTAAAGGCGTGTACGCGTCTAGCTCGGAGCCACAGAGGACGCAACCGGTACAGATCCGAGTTAGGAGTGAATTTCTAAGGCATTGCAAACATGCAAATGCTAAGCAACGAATAACGGCGAACATAGTTGAATGTGCGAACCGTACGTAAGTTGAAAGATTAAATTTTAACTTGTATACGACGGCGAGCGTATTAAGAAGTGTTGACCTGAAAGAATTTTTATGAACCCGATATTGAAATTGAACAATGGATGCTATTTACATTTTGTGCAAAAGACCCTAAGCGAGTTGAAGATCTACTAACTACGTTTATGTTGGTTGGATTTAATGAAAATAAAATTCGTAGTGAAAAATTGAATCTTGTCCCATCAAGTAATACCAGTGAATCAGTGTTACCGATTATATAACTTAACCAAGAAGGGTGTGCCAAGAACAAATCTAAGTATCTCGAGTGACGGTAACAGTAAAATAAAAAGCAATCTACTTTCATAAGCAGGCAATGAAGTAGTGGCTTCCACCATAACCACGTAAGGAAAGAAAAGCAAGACTTGCTACGTAACACATATAAGAAAGAGGCGCTACATAGCAGACGCATACGCAAGTGTTAGTCTCATCAAACTCATCTAAAAACTTTTTTGTAATGCAAGAGTCGCCGAGTCCTTTGGGCCACCAATTAATAAAATCAAGCGCTGCTCTAGCTTTATTTAAGGAGAGCTCAATGGGCAGATGAAAACTTTCGCCGTAAATCCATAAGCGAATCTAAAGGAATTCCTTATTGAAAACTTTTTGAACTTTTCAAGATGTAATTTCAATGAACACCATGTAAACAGATTGCCTAAATCAGATTGAAGGAGATAGGAATGCAATTCTAAGATTAAGGACTAAAACCGGTTTGATATCGTCAGTATATAAGAGACAGGAGCAAGTCTGAAGAAGAGTTAGAAGTCTGGAGTTCAAAGATCAATAATTTCTAAGCAAAACCTATGCTAAACTCTGTGTGTGTGTACGATGTCGTTACGAAGTTAACCGAGCATTGATCGGAAAGGTGGTTGCTTAAGAAAGGTCCGCGAAAAGTTAAAACCGTATTGCAAACGCATCTACAGTTATAAGCTGATGCATGTGTGGAGAATGCCGTAAGTGATAGTGCGAAGCTTCTTCCTCTGTTTAGGCAATTAGTCTTGGGTCAAATGCGACTCTTAAACGACTATCAGCCCTTATTTATAACTGTCTCTATCACTGTTGTTACATGCATCATTAACCGATTCTCTCTTTCGAGCCATTTCGCATTCAAAATTTTTTCGAGCTTTCTGTCGGACATCTTTCAGAAACTGAAATTGATGTTCACTTCAACTTTCTCAATTTCCATTTCCTGTACTGCACGATACTCAAAATTGTAAATTTCGGCACTGCCGATAATGAATTTCCTGAACTCTGTTATACAAGTACAATGTTCGGAGGTTTTCCAATTCTTGCTTAAAATGCAGGCAGAAAGGAAGGCAAGAGCTAACGAACGGATTGATGAAATGAATGACAGATCTTTTAAGGATCAAAATTTCACGCATGCTTTCAAAAGGCCTAAGTAGTTAATAGGTCCTTAATAGATTGCAAACCTAACTGACCCTATGCTTATTGTCATCACTGTTACTGTAGTTGTGCTTGCGTTTATTTAAATTTTTTTCGGTTGATAGACGAATATTTTTATTTAAGCTTCACTTGTAAACCGTCGACGACGATATTTTAGAAACTAATTAAATTTGCGGGTAATTTTTCATTGGAGTTGATTGTTGTAATGCATCAAGTGCACGAGTGAGAGCGGTCGCGCGCGTGTGCTTGTGACCACAGCAAGTGATTTTTTTATGGCAACATTAACAAAATCAACAATAACAACAACAACAACTATTCTCCGCAAAATTGATGACGATAATATAAAATATGTTCCCCCACTTGGCTTCGGGCTATTCAACCGCTTGAACAATTAACATTTCATTCAAGCATTCATTCGTCCATTCATTCATCACATACCTCATTTATACAAAAGAAGACGCTGGCACACTGCTGCTGTGATGTGGTCTGTTTTTTTTGTTTTTTTTTGTTTTTTTTTTTGTTAATTGGCACTTGTGTGTTTTATAAATGCTCTGGTCTGTCGTTTGCTTTTTCTTGTTTTATTTTTATTATTTTTTTTTTTTTTAACACAAAACGTAGTAAAACTTAACATAGTGACCTAAAAAATATTGTAAGCTGATCCACTTGCAAACATAAAACAGTACTGCTACTCAAGGTGAATGCAAACAAGGAGAGAAAAAATTTCGTTTTTTTTTTTTTGCATTTTTATAAAAAAAAATCGTTGTTACACACACATACAGACGAGCGCGTGTATACACTAAATTGTGCTTTAGCACAACAAAAAAGAAAAACAAAAAAAAAAAAAAAATAAAGAGAAAAAGGATGCTTTGCTGTTTTTGTTATTGCTGTTGTCATTATACATATAAAAGGCGTGCAATTTATAGTATATCGTAACGTCATCAGCCTTATTACAAACCTTTGTTGAATAGTAACGACGAAAGTCTGTCGTTACGGTTTGCTGACCGAGTTCTTGATTTTGCTTGATTTTGTTTAGTTTTTCCTTTTTTTTCTTCATTTTTTGCTTTCCTTCTTTCTTTCGTTTTCTGAATTCTGTGGAAGTGGAAGCAGCAAAACAGAAGCATTGTTGTCAAGAAGCACAAAACTTTAAAGCAATTGGGTTTTTTTTTTAGTACGGTATCTGCGCTGCTGTTAGCTTAAGTTAATATAATTTTTCAATTTCAATTGTATTTTAGAAATAAAGAAAAAAAAAGAAAACAAAAGCAAAACAAAGAGAAAAAAAAACAAAAAACAAGAAGAAAAATGAAAAGGAAGGTAAGAATAAAGTGTGAGTGCTAAGACTTTACGGTCAGAGTTACAAACTATCCATGTTGAACACCTTTCGTGCTTATGCGTCGCATCGTCATGATCATGATTGTCCTGAGCCAGTGTTCAGTTTATTTCAAGAAGCTTAACCATAAAAATGATCGCAGTCACTGTAGCTACATTCGCTATGTTCGCGCATGCGCATGCTCGATCAGAGCAATCATGATTATTTACCACTTAAAGCAACGCCATCCTCTGGACAATGCAGACACATTGATGTCGGTTAACCAGTAACAACAAAAATAATAATAATAATAACAACAACAACAACAACAACAACAGTTAGTTAAACACATGAATAGAAAAAAAAAAATAGTCTTTGGTTGAGATGGCTGAGGTGGTTGTGATCGGTTGTTTATACGATTGTGGCCGTATAAACTTTGGTTGTCCAGATATTTAATTCTTTTTTCTTTTTTTTTCATTTTTCTCTTTTTTTCAAATATATGTGCATATGTATACATGTAGTGGTGTGTCTGTGTGTTACATATTTGTAGATGCGATATAAAATTTTATTTTCCTTTTTTTTCTTTTTTTTTTTCGAGCAATATTTTGTTGTATGTTAGGTTTCTTTCATAGCTTGCAACACATTTTTTTTGTCTAATTGA